CGTTTCAAGTAACAGATACAAATCGGTAACCAATACCTACATATTTATATAATAGTGATTGATTAGATTCCTGAACCGAATTATATTATTATTGTATTCTAATAGAAATGAAAATCATATTTTAAGGTTTCCCATACTTATACATTATTGCAATACGTCTTGAATAACGTGACGATTCCACAAAAATAGAATTTTATCAACTTATAGGTGATCGTTTTCAATTTGATTTACGCGCTTTTTAAAAAACCTAGTTATGATACAATAATGACGTATAAAATAAGGCACAAAAACACTTTTACTTGTATATTTATGTGGCTATCGTATTAGTATTTTTCTAACGAGCATATAATTTCTTGACATTTTTCAATTTTCTGAATAATTAATATTTGATAAAGTTGGTTATTAAAAAAAAAAAAAAAACTTAAATAACTTATTAAACGATGGCGGTAGGTTTCGGTTTTACTATAATGATAATTATTATGCGAGACTCTTTCTCCGATTAAAAATGTCAAAGGAGCTCTTTTTTTAGTGAATTTTACAATAAGTTGGTCATTAGGTTTTGTTCGTTGGTTTTTATTTCCTACTTTAGATTCTGAGTGGAGCGAAGAAGCTTATGGCTTTACATAGATGTTTATTTTTTTCTTTTATACCTGTAAACAACTTTTATATCAGAAGACTTGCTCAGATTTCTAAATGTAGCACCTTTTCTGAAAGAAAATCGGTGTAGGGAAGGATACTTTAAGGAAATTTTTAGATTTTTTCAAGAATTTTCTAATCGAATTTTGTAAAAACCGAAAAAAAAAAACAGGATAAAATGAGAAATGTAGGTATAAGTTTAAATATATTACGGCCTTCTATTTTTTTGTGCACTTTAGAAAGGTTAATTTTCGAATTTCTCATGAGTTTTCCTAACAAATATGAAAAACCAGAATAAAACATGGGAAAACCGGAAAAACCTAAGAAAATTGGGCAAATCGATACAACATTAAACAAATAATATTAAAGAAAATATACAGAGCCAATTTAATTATTTTACTATAATATGGCAATATATATTGTTGACAAAGTATCCCTATCAACTGAATTCCGCTCAGAATCGGTTTTTCGTAAGCAATGGAATATCATTGCTTGCAGATATCCATTAAATTGTTGTCTGTATCCTACCTTCTCAACTGCCTACACTAGTGGCTGCACACGTCCCCATTATCTTACCTTTTTTAATTCTGCGCGTAAGGCGGAAGCTATTAATCTCACTGTGCTGTGGACAATTTGCTTAATAAATGATTGAATTTTAAACATTAAGTAAACTATTAATATTGTTTTCAAAACTTTTAGTTCAATTTTTTCAAAGTATTATTAACTGAAGTTTACTCAAAAACGTTTTTCAATAACGACGATTTATTGGCATATTAGCCGTATTTTTTATAAAGAGTTTATGAGAACTTGGAGTCAAGTGGTAAAGTCTCGTCGATTTTTTTTTTTAAATATTAATATTATTGACTCAGTTACAGTTATTTAAAAAAATAATAATAATCATAAGGATACATTGTTATAATGTGAATCGAATTATAGTAGTTACCTAATAAAGTTCTTTGTCATGATCAAATATAAGGAAAAATAATATAACAAAATGCTACTGTGTATCCGAACTCGACTCTATTGTTAGCGGAATGTTTCATTTGTACGCATTGAACTTTCGACGTATTATTTTTTTATCCCGTCGTCGTCGTTGGGTTGACACGACGTTCCTATGGGTTTATGGTGACCGTCAAACTGAACAACAACAACAACAAAAAAAAAACAAATTTCCTAATGTCAATATATTATTGTGACGACCGACGTTATATTTTTTTTTGCAATGGGTATGTAACGGCGGTATCAAATTATATTATTTGTTTTTGTTTTTTATATTTATTAAATTTTTTTTTATTTGAAAGTTAGACTTTAATAGGCGGCGTCTCGTCGGTGGTATTCAATCAATAAAAACATCGCGCGTTAACGAACATCAAAAAAAATACCCTTTTTAAAATAATTTTAAATATAAAACAATACATTAATTAATAATATAATTATAAAAAAATATGAAATACAAGAATATTTCAAAGTGAACAGCAAATATATACTATGGGTTTTTTTTTTTAAATATCTAATATATATTTTTTTTATTTAATTAAAATCTTCAATCTATACAAATATTCTATAATAAATAAATTGGATGACTGAGAGAATACAAGTAAAAGATAGGGATAGTAACTAAATTCTGTACTGTGCCTAAACCCGGGAAATATAACGGGGCGAAAAATTCGTCGGAATTTTTACGACAATCGCTATAAAATTCGGTTTGTATATCACGGCTCGAAAAAAAAAACAAAAAAAACGTATCGTAACGCATGATGAACGTCATTTTTTTTTAAATTAAAATAAAATAAATTACTGTTTTAATCTGTATTCATATATTATGTTAACATTTCTGGTAGAAAAGTTGTTCACAGATAAGAACAAAAAATATACATCATAGTATTAGCCTTAATGATTGAAGGCTATACATTATAGTACAGCCTTAAAAATGAATTTTAAGGTGTAATAAAATCAACGAAAAATCTACACACGTGTATGTTAAGGACATAACGGATGGACAATAATCAAAAAATTGAATCTTTTGTATTCTATGCTTATGTAAAAATAATAACCATAATACAGATTCGCGTGCCAATCTCGCCTTATAAGTTCATTTTTTTTGTTACACCATTTCTTCTATGGTCAATTGATTTTTTTCTTTTTCGTCGTAATAGCGGTTTTAAAAATCCATTATACTATCTGAGTATCTGACTGGTCATTTGTACGGTCTATTATTCGCGTGTAAGTAACGGGTAAGTAACCCGTAAGTGTGATAGATGAGCTACAGAGAAAATTTAACAAGAACAAAATAATAAGATTTATCGTTTTTTGGACCATACAAGTGAATCTATTAAAACGAATTCAACTATACTTCCCAAACATATTAAGCCTTTTTTGTTTTACTATAAAATGTGACTTTTTTTGTCAATCCGTATCTAATCAAAATTTCGAACAAAAGACTATTATATTAATAATATAATATTATATACTATTTATAAACAAATTATTGTTCCTCGCCCACTATAGGTCGTTTTATTTTTATATTCTTAACGTTTTGTCATATCGATTTCCTGCAATAGCTCACTGTTATTTTTGTTTATGGTTCAGATGTGTTGTATCTTTTTAATATAGAAGGTATATACAAAATACAGAGTGATTTTTTTAAGCATGCTCACGCCATTTTATGGATAAATTATGCATAACATTGATCTTCGCATAGGCACAACTAAGGGAGAGGGGTTGCTAGGGGGTCTTTAGTACACCCAAGTTTATAAGTATTTTATCCATGTGTTTTATAACTAATATCTAATATATCTAATATCTACAGACATGTTCGTATGAAAAATTTATAAATAAATTTATAAATTTGTACATACAAAATTGTAAATAAAATGTGTAGTTGCTAATTGTAAGAGTCGTGTAAAAGGGATTGTGGAAGCATAGCCTCCGTGGGTTTATAATGAATTCATAATTTTAGAAACCCCGAAATTTGTGGTTTAATTGACGATCTTTGACATTTTAAAATGTAGTGAAAGACGATAGTTTCGAGTACTGAGATTTTTCACAATATTTAAGGAGTGTGTTTAGTGGCGATACCTACTTTAGTTTTTCAAATAAGAACCTACATATTTTAATGCAAATTGTCAATCAGATGATTTTTCTGAAAATGTTAACGTATTGTAATCGAAATTTAAACGCATGATTTCAGAATTATCCCGCTTTAAATACTACGGACAACAGTCTTTTATGGGGACCGTCGATTTAACAGTCTGTGATTTATTTTTTACAACATATTTTTTCTGGTTCTTTAAATTACTTATAGTTCTGCTAACATGTATTCAATTTGTAACAGTTTAATTATTTTGTAAAACGATGTCGCGTGCGTTCAACGTACTTTCATCATTAAAATTAATTGATAATTTTTATCGAGTTGCCAACAGAACATCATTTTCGGGTAGTATTACTAGTAATACTCGTAATAGTAATAGTTCGTCTCATATTTGCGAAATTTTCGGTCGATTAATCGCAGATAACAATCTAAACGGTGGTAATGCGCATTAGGATAAAACATAATATTTTGAGACCGTACTACCTCTGGGTACCCTGCGGGCATAACGATTGCACTGAGTATATATTTTGTTTGCACTCCCCGGTGTACGATTAAAACTATTATCATAATCATATAGGTATATTTATATAATTTTCACATTGTCCCCTGCGGGGTCTCACAAAACTTGTATTGCTGGCACCAAAGTCCGATAATATGATGATGTGAATATTATAACCGAACCTATTAGTTTAACGCGTTCAGAAAATAAACTTATATAAATAATCATAGAAAATAATCGGTTAACTACGTGTTTAGGAAATCAAAAAAAAAAAGACAAACATACTTTGAACGATGGACCGACCACTACTGTAGGTGAAAAGCTAGAAAGTAGTATATAGACGGGAATTTAATATGTATCTGTATGCATTAATTAATTATTGCTAGCGAAAAACGATTCTGAGAGGATTTCGATTATACATATATTAAAAGGTAAAAATATTTACGATTTTCGTAGAAAATTGATATTAAAATTCTTACAAAAAAAAAAAAAATACTAATATTAAACTCAACTTTTTTTTGTTGACTACTAAATATAACTGACAATAAACCTCCTGTTAAATTGTTAAGCTTTTCTGTTTGGTCTAACAACTATATCCACAGTGTACCTATCGAATAAAAATTACCTACAAAACTCGCAAAATTTAAATTTCTAGAAAAAAGTTTAGAAATAGCTAAAGTGTTTTGAAAATTTAGCCATGTCTAGAAAAGTTAAATATAAGTCATTTTAGTAGTCATCTGCGCTAATTCTATGTAGATTTATCAAAAATGTATTTCTAACGGTTTATTCAGTTAGGGCAGTATACTATTAGACGGATGAAATACGATTAGGGAAGTGTACATTTCAATTACGTACATGAGTTGAGACGTACTTGTATCGGACGGTTATTGTATAATTAATTTAGGGATCGACGGGGTGAAATTCGCACGTCGGAAAAATATAACATTCGTTTTGAAAAGGCGTATGATATAGTACAGTAACCGTACAAAATATATTAGTCAGGTAATCTTTTCAAAACGTCGGGTCAGAACCTTTTCGGAGTTAACAGGTCATTTTAAAATCGTTTATATTATATCACGCTCAATAATAATTTCGTCAATATAATATGTTATTAATTCGAAGTATTACTATCAGTTTTCAATTTTGGCAAAACATTTTCCACGGATATCATAATATATTATAATACCAACGTATACATCGTGCATAACGTATATATCGCGTACTATCGTACTGATGGAAATGAAATTAATTGTATGTATCGTAAAAACTATAGCTTCTCTACTAGATACTTAATATTCAATTGATAAGAGCTGGATTGGGGAACCAACCTCTTTCCCCGTGCCTCCTATTTGCACCGATACTAAGAGGACAAAGCTGATTGATTAACATTTGTTTACGCCGTTCAATGTGATAATAATATAAGTGAACAAATGAAAAATTGAGTACGATGTATCAATGTACAATACATATTGTTGAAATTAATCACAAATCGTTTCTATATAACATACCGTCACAATATAATTCATGGCGTAAACAAATGTTTCGCGGACTATTCAATACAATGCGCCCAATTTTCGCTACTATGTATGTATGACTGTTGATTTCATACCTCTTATTATCGTATATTCGTAGACATCCGTAGTTATTTTATGTAGATATCCATTGTAATAAATAGCCATATAATTGTACATATTCAACGCACGTATTAAAAGATAATAATTTCAATTAGCAGTGCCAACGTAAGCACCCGTGAGCAGCAGAGCTCAGTCACCGGAGTCGAATTTTCCCCGAGCTGGATTTTCACCGTTACAGTTTTGTATTGATCTAAAATAGTTGTGGTTGCCAGAGTTTTAATACATTCAAGTTTATAGGGATATATAAAACCCAGAATTTCTTGTCAAATCATAATATTTGAGAATACAAATTACTATGGAGAGGAGACCAAAAGTTGAAATCCCCAAAAAGCAAATTCTTTACACTTACATCATTCGTAAGCCAAAATTCATTCTTCTGGTTTCATTTTGGAGATCTGTAAATGTGTATACAAAGGTAAAAACCATCCTTCACGCACGAAAAAAATGGTTAACTCATATTAAACTTTTATTTCTTTTATTACTTCAATCAGCGGTGTTAAATTGAAGGGCATTTAAAGGCGTTCAATTATTTAAACGACCGTGAACTACATTGTTCCGTTAATTTGAAAAAAAAAATAATAAAAAAATGATAATGATATTATCAGTTATTTATAACTTCTGAAAATAATAAACAATGTATTGCAATAAAATTCACAATTTAGTGATACCACGGCATCGCTTGTAATTTATAAAAAAAAAATCTTATTTAACAAGATAGATAATATTGGTTATCTATTTCGGTGATGTAATCATAGAATAAAATAACTTTATATGTATAAATTACTAAACCATTATTCTGCGTATCAGTATTTTTTTGTACGTCTTGCTGTTTTATAATTGTCTTTTCGATTCTTATATTCTGAGTAGAGCGAAGAAGCTTATAGTTTTACAAAGATGTTTATTTTTAATTTTTTTTCCTGTGCATAACTTTTCTACAAGCAATTTTGCTTCAACTTTTAATAATAGCAATGTTTCTAAAAGGAAATTTCATTAAAAAGGTACTTTAGAGAGGTCATTTTTCGATTTTCTCAGGAGTGTTCTCATCAAATTTTAAAAACCGGGATAAAACATGGGAAAACCGGGAAAAACGATGGAAAACTAGACAAATCGGTACAAAATTAAACAAATATTATTAAAGAAAATATATAGAACTTATTTAATTATTTTACTATAAAATGACATGCATATTATTGACAAAGCATCACTATTAACTGAACTCCGCTCAGAATCGTTTTTTCGTAAGCAATGGTTTTTTGTTAGGTATGCATTTTATTATCTAAACAGTGGCTGCAAACATTTTGTTTTATCTTGTTTTGTTTCATGGGATTGTAATCTATTAATTTTTACCTACCCTGGATAAAAACCTCTGAATTGAACGAGTTCATTATTTCAACAAACGTGTTCGTTTTATTAGTAATGAACATGAAACTCATTGTGTTCATTTTTTTAGTGAACCCGCCTACAAAACCATCGCACTGAATTACGAGTTTGAGTTCATTTTGTCACCACTATAAAATGTTCAAAAGTAGCGAAAAAAAGATCACAAAATAATATAACAGATATTTATATATATATATTATATAATATACAAATAACAATACATTTTATTTTTCGAAGATATTTCGAAAAAAATTAAAAAATATTTCAGTATCGTGAATCGTATGTACATCTTTCTCTATAAAATTTCGCTAAAAAAAAAAAGTGCCATTTTATACACCAACATAATATAATAATAATATTATATAGACGTTTTATTGTTGTGGATTTTACAATTTGGAACACTTCCAATGTTCGGAAAACACTATTTTCAAAAATAAAACAACATAATATTATATTATATGGCTAGTGTAATAATATGGTATAATATAATTTACTCGTATTTTCTATTGAAACGTACAAAACACGCAGGTAGCTATTTTAAATTTTCGGTTTATCGAACCAGAAGAAATAATTTCCGGTTCGGTCTACTATGACGGTGCTGTCTTTGAAGTCAGTTCTCTTCTATACTATACCTGGTATTTGTACTCTCACTGTTATAAGTATAATGGGTACATAAGTACTGTCATAGAACTACACATTTCTAAGATTTCAAACTTTTTGTTTTTCCTTTACATATTCGAAACGTCAAATTGATATGCGTACAGAATAATTTTGTAACGTACACGTGAAATCGTGGAGAAAAATTGTAATATCATTATTGTTTACGTCGTCTGTAAACGAAACAAACACGAGATTTATCACCGGCTGTGTAAGTACTCGAGAACCTACTAACGAATATTTCACCGGCGTAAATATTATGAAAAATATCCGTCGCGAAGAAAAGTTGAAAGACGTCTTGAAATCGCTGTTTCGACGGAACGTGTGAATTATTATCAATTTTATTTTTTTTTTTTTATCACTTTTCGCGGTTTTCATTCGTTTTTCATTTGAAGATTTTAGTAAATTTAGGCGAAGTAAAACGAAACAAGGTTTCTGCACGAGGGCATAGAACTTATGTCGTTGTTTTGCGCATTATGACGATTGACGACAATCACAGCTGCTGCAGGTATCCAATAGTGTATACTATTCTAACGGACCGTATAAGTGACTGAAATACATGACGGATTACTTATTGTTACTGCAGCGAGTCGATGTAAAATTTACTCGAATAACTTAGACAGTGGCGTAGCCAGATGGGAGGAGGCTGAAGGTCCTGCAGCCCGCTCCGAAATATTAAGAACATTTAAAAATAATTTTAATGGTCTATAAAATTCGCTACACAAATCTTAAATTGTATTTTACTGATTTTTAAATATAATCTTTATTTTGTTAGCTTTTCTTATTTTTTCGTGATCAAAACATTACCAGTATTTACACTATACTCTCAATAGCCGTGCTAGTAGGTATTTAATGCATACAAGTATAAAAACATTGTACATCAGTCGCAATAGTACAAAAATCTGTAAATAAATATTTGTAAGCGATTAGCAAAAGAAACCTAGTTTTCGAAATAATTGGGAAAAACTGGAAGAAAATTATAAATATTTACGACGCGCCACGGCATTGCCGTTTTCATTGTTTTCATTGTGTTATACTGATGTTTTCTACCAGAAATATTACACCAATCAAAAAATAAAAATATATTGTACTTTGTATTATATTTCCACTAACGAAGAAAGTCGTTTTTTAATATCCAAAGTAGGTTTCCGAATAATTGGAAACATCGAAAAAATTTAAATTGATTAATATTTACGGCTAAGCATCGTCCCAGTTTTATTATTTTAATAGGCTCAACTTATGTTTTTTAACAGAAATATTACTCTAATCAAAAAAAAACATAAGTAATCGATTTTATAATTTTTAACACATAGCCACTGTAGACAAAGAAAGTCGTTTTTTGATATCTAAAGTAATTTTCATAATAATCGAGGAAAACCAAAAAAAAAACGATTTATATGATTTTTTTCAAATTATGACATAAAGATTTCATTATTTTAAATGTTTATGGCTTATGTTTTCTATCATAAATATTACTCCAATAGATAAACAACAAAATACGTTTTTTGTTACATTTTGAATCTAGCTTAGGAGTAAGTTACTCGTTTTTTTGTTTTTATCTGTGGTTTTATTAAAAATTGAACATAACCAGAAAAAAAAACGATGAATTATGATTTTATAATTTTTAATTTTAATTTTTACATTGCAGTTCTAGTTAAAATATTTATGGACCAATTTTAACTTAATTTTTTTAGACGTGGTAAAACTTTCAGAACATTTGAGCAACAATTTTTGAGCTATTTATTGAAATTTCATTTTGCGAAATTTTTACGTAATTTTTATTTGGTGGGTCCTCTGTAGGAAAATATTAAGCCTTACGAAATGCTTAAAAATTTGATTGAAGGTTTATTATAAGTTGTACTCAGTGGTCAAAAAAAAAAATTGAAATTAATGTAGTAGTGATTGTTTTATTTTAAAATCTTCGATTAACACGTAATTATTTTGTAAGCATTTTAAGAGAAAATCGATCGCGTCATAAACAATAACTTAACGTTTTTGAACGATTTACATTACCGAAAAACGTTATCACAAAAAAAAAAAAAATACTACGGTATAAACCAACAAATTGTTTTTCCACTCTCGCTTTGAAATTATAAATATTATTTTTACAGTGTTCTAAAAACTGTTTTTTTTCTCGTCTCCTTTGTTTTCGTAAATATATTGCACTCGTATTGTTATTTCTTTGTGAAATTGATAAAAAAAAAAAAAAATATTAATAATAACGAATAAACTAGGAAACACGGTACATATAGATTCTCATAGATTTTAGATTCTGAATGTTGCGAACAATGTATTGGTTTTACTAAGATATTAATTTTTTTATTTTTATTTCTATACTGTGTAC